CCCAATGGGCCATCCTCACTATAAATATATGCATGCCATATAACCCTACATTGTGCATATGTATGCCTTTCAAGTAATGAATTAACATTAGAAATTGTGCCTGAATATTGCTGAGTTATTGTAGGCCCAATATGTGCTTCTCATTTGAATTACATTGAACTTATAGACACACAATAGAAAATAAACAGGCCTATATTATGCTATCCATATGCCTAATATAGGTCTGTTTATGTTTTATTGTGTGTCTATAAGTTCAATGTAATTCAAATGAGAAGCACATATTAGGCCTACAATAACTCAGCAATATTCAGGCACAATTTCTATGTTAATTCATTGCTTGAGAGGCCTATATTAGGCATACATATGCATAATGTAGGGTTATATGGATGAGATTGAGAATAGTGTGGGCGCAATAGACTTATTCCTGGCATAAAAATTTCTGATTAGAATAGGGAACAATTTCTGTAGAAATAGTTCCGGCCGGAACTGTTCCTAGGAATTTAGTCCACATAAATTACTACCGTGCTACTCAGAAATTATGCCACTATTATAATTTCCATTATAAATTGTCTGAATCTACAAAAATAATTTCACCAATAGAACCAGTGCAATGTACAATGTACATAGTGTGGCTCCTTAAGCGCATATGAATATGTTTATAAAATCAAGAAATTAAATCAAATCAAATATATAGATATGATCTGCGAATCCTCAAACAAAAAAATTCAATTATTGTTTGACTTGTAACTTAAATACAACCCTGCGATCAACATAGTACTCATTCTTTTTCAACTGACAGCTTAACGTCACTATAGCATAACACTCAAACGGCGATAAACACGCAACAACATGGTTGTGACGAAAAACTCGTTCCTTAGCCACTTGGTATGAAATTTCAATATTAAATAATTAAATCGTGAAATTTTGGCAGTTGCAATTAATTTTTCAGGGCTTCGGCTACTTAGCATTTAAAAGATGGGCGGAAATAAGTGCAAAAGGTCAAATAATCAGTGTCGAACAATCGATCAACAACGAAAAAAATAAATCTGTGAGCAAATTACATGTCTATACATATAGATTGGTTTGATTAATAAAAAGTTCTTCTTTATTATTACAGCGCACATGTCCAACATGTTTTAAGCAATTTCATTCAAAGACGAGCAACTTCAACCGACATTTGAAGCTTCATGAAGCGAAAAAACTCAAGAATCGTTTAAAATGCCGTCTTTGTACGAAGACGTATCAAAACCTTTCGAATTTCAAACAACACACCAACAAATATCATTTAAAGTGGATGAATAACAACGGCCCCGTACCATTCGTGTACACTGGAGAAGGAGCGAAATTTCGTTGATCTTTTTGAAAAAGTTCCATTCATCAAAAATTCATTTTGTTAAGAAAACTATCATTAAATCGCTTACAAATAAAAACTGTATAAAACTTAAAAATATTATTCATTTCGAATTCAAAAATATCGACCATACAGTGTTCCCAGAATTCGGAACTGAAACGTCAAAATCAATTTAGTATCCATACACTGCTCGTGCAACACAGTGTATCGTTAGTGCAGTGTCAAATTCGAAATATGACAGCTCTAAACTTCAGTTTGTAAACAGATCGTCAGAACACACAAATTTCAGCAAAATGTTTTGGAGTAAAGAATTTTTTACTGATTCATTTTTTTAGCATTAACAATGAATAAAAAACATATTTTTAAATATAGGTGGGATTGTGAGCGATGGAAAAGATTTGGTTGAACGTCCAGAAATATCGTTACATGTATCACACGCAGCGTTGGATACAACAACATTGACAACCGATGGTTTTGTTCAGTTGTTTGTACGAATACACCATAAAAACACATTGGTGGCCACTTTGAGTCAAAACATTCCACAAACTCCTCTCGTGCTGGCATTCAAAGCGAATAAGAAAGTTAAGTTTCATACCAAAGGAAATGGTGAGGTTCATCTATCGGGATTTTTTATTGCCGATGAATATGGTGGAGGAGCTCCTCCAGATGAGGCGCCTAATGCAAAAATTGACAAAGCAAATGATGATTTCGAGCAGAAAAACAAGGAGCACAATAAAAATAATGCTAACGACGAAAAGGACGCGGAGGGCAATAGCAAGACAAACGCTCAGAAAAACGTGCGAACCGATTTGGATACCCAGGTATTTAGAACATTTTGAGATTTATATTATTTAATATCGATAATTTTTCTCCTTTTGTATGAAATAGGAAAAATTACAGGATGAAAACGTTGCAGTGCTAGATTTGGAGCTTGGTAAAGGCAGAAAAAAGGCGAAATACGGCGATAAACTGAAGATTTACTTTGAAAATCGGTTTGAACCTGATGGCATGGCTTACGTGAAAATGACTGAAGAAGACAGCGCTGGCTTTGATTTTATGCTAGGAAGTGAGGATGTAATTCAAGGTTGGAATATCGGGATAAAGGGAATGAAAGTCGGTGGAAAGCGTCAAATTACCTCTCAAGCAAATGTTGCATACGGCGAAAACGGTATACCACAGCTTGTACCTGCCAATTCTGTCATATATTCGACTATCATGGTGAAGGAAATCAATTGAGTTTTAATGAATATGAACTCACGTCGTTTTTCTACGTTAAGTTGATAACTTGCGATATTTATCGATAATATAAAAAAATATAACAAAATGCAGTACATACTGTGAACTCAAACTTTGAAGGCAAACCGTATTACGAAATTATTTGTAAGCTCAAAACATATTTGATCAAAATAGATTTGAAATAAAAATTACGTTTGTTTGAACTTATGCAAAAAATACATGTATGGTAACGTAAAATAACAATTTTCAAAAAGATTTTCTTTCAAAAAAATATATGAAACATTATTGTAGGATTAAGTCAATGGATTTCTTTTTCCTCAGACCATATCGATGCTTCATGTAATCGAATTTATTTTTCAATACATCCAAATCGTTTTACTTCAATGAAACTCCAATTTGTTTGATTTTCAATAGATTCACATAGATGGTGATCTCAGTTGTTGAATAGAATAAATTGTTCTGAATAAATTATTTGCTCAACATAATGCAGTGTCACTCGTTAATGCAGTGTCAAATTCAAAATATGATGCACGATAAAGCATTAGTGAGAGCAGTGCAGCGCTTTGTACTACTCTCGCTCTAACACACATCTTTATGTGTATACGGATTTAGCGGAACGGTTAGAGAGCCAATACATAGATACACTCGTACGCAGGCTACTACGACTGAGTACACTAGTCTGTTGCAAATATCTATGTATTGGCTCTCTAACCGTTCCGCTCAATCCGTATACACATAAAGATGTGTGTTAGAGCGAGAGTACTACATAGCGCTGCACTGCTCTCGCTAATGCTTTATCGTGCTCTGAATTATATCCCGCACACAGCCCGCCGCGTTGTATATTTCACCGCACAGCAAGCATATGGGAGCCCTGAATATATTCACTGCTATCGAGCTGTGAGTAAAGAATACATGAAAACGATACACTTATACATGCGCATCGCATTGCGTTGTAATGTTGTTTTCGAAAGATGAAGTGATGTAAAAAGTTTGGTTATGTGTCACTGTTAATGTTCGCTCTGTTGTCAAGCATCAACTCATATCGAACGTCAGTGATGAAAAAAATTTTCGGTAAATATTTTAATGAATTTTCTTTCACTTTCTTTGTTAAATTCATATGTTAATTAACTATAATTTAATTATAATTATAGGTGTGTGTGTTGGTGCAGGATGCATATCTACCATAAAAATGCCAGGAGAAAGATTGCATATCACCAGTTTGTGCTTAGATAAAACGAAGGGGAAGAAAACAGAAAATCAGCTTTGGCTGCTCAATAAAAATAGCGATAAAGAGAATTTGTTGGCAGTCATAAATCGAAACAATCCCCAAATCAGCCTGAATCTTACATTCAGCCCACCTGTGGATATCGAATTGTATTGTGAAGGTGATGCGGATATACACTTGGTTGGCTATTCGGCCATAGAATTCATTCTTGGGTAACTTTTGCTTGTGAAAATCAATTTGATTTAAATTTGAATTTGATTTCTGTTCGTGTTGATAAAATACATTTATTCTTTTTCTTCAGCGAACGTTCATCGGGAATGGAACTACTAACGAAAGAAAAGACTACAGCTAAAGACGTTCCTCAGTGGACAGAGGTAATAAATATAAAAGGATTTGAAGAATCAGAGGATGTCGCCTGGAGGGTCGTTGAAATAACTGGTTTTAACATAAATTTATTTCTAATTTACAGTTGTCTGATGGCGTAAAGTCTAAAGAACTTGCAGTTGGATTTGGCAACGAGGCCAAATTGGGCGAGGAAATATCTATTTTCTACGAAACACGACTTAACGAGGAGGAAGAAGCAGTCATAAAACATACAGAAGAACCGCCGATAACAATTACTTTGGGATCGAGCAATAATTTCAAAGCCTGGAATGTTGGCATCATCGGAATGAAGATTGGAACAAAACGACGTCTCGTTTGTCCACCAGAAGCAGCTTATGGCAAGCGAGGCTTCCCCCCGATCATTCCACCAAATTCAACTGTCTTTTTTGACGTAACGTTACACAACATTTTGGATTCATCGCTTTGTAATACTCAATAGCATTATTGATAATATTAGTAAACTCATATGTGGAGCTTACAACAACTCATTACATGAACATTTATCATTTTTTCCACTGAATATTTATCAATAGAGTTTTAGTAGTGAGTCAAAACCTATGACCATGTCGTGCTAAAGAAATATGAACTCATATCGCAACGTAGAAAGCGTTGATAGCTTTTTTGTAAGCTCAAAACATATTTGATCAAAATAGATTTGAAATAAAAATTACGTTTGTTTGAGCTGAGGCAAAAAATACATGTATGGTAACATAAAATAACAATTTTCAGAAAGATTTTCCTTCAAAAAAATATATGAAACATTATTGTAGGATTAAGTCAATGGATTTCTTTTTCTTCAGACCATTTCGATGCTTCATGTAATCGAATTTATTTTTCAATACATCCAAATCGTTTTACTTCAATGAAACTCCAATTTGTTTGATTTTCGATAGATTCACATAGATGATGATCTCAGTTGTTTAACACTTTCACGGTTCTTCACACTTTTTACCTATATCTGTTCTTTGGGGACTTCAGGGCCCCATCGATACTTCATATGAAATCTGGACTGTGAAAAGAGATAACAAAATAGTGTCTGAGGCAAAGTTGTAATACTCGAGGTTTGCTATAATTTTGCTGCAACAAATATTGCTTATCTCTTATCAGTTACGCGAAAAAATGATAAGAAAAAATTCGCGGTTTTCGCGGTTTCCGCGTAACTGATAAGAGATAACGACTTGATGTCTATGGCGAAGTTGTAGTACTCAAGCTGCTCTACAACTTTGCCGAAAACCATCTTGTTATCTCCTATCAGTTTCGCGGAATACGCGAGAAACCGCTGAAAACCGCGAAAAAACGCGTTTGTTCTTATCATTTTTCACGGAACTGATAATTATCTGACTACTACTATCAAGCATTTCCATCTTGGTTGTATGACTGTGTTTTTGTTTCCATGCCCTACTTGTGTAAATGCTGATAAGATTACGAAAAGAGCCAGGTTTTTAACGAGGCGAGAACTGATAGTTATTGTTATTATAAATCATTGTAACCAAATACAAATTGATGTAACAGTCTTGCACTCTTTTCCGGCCACACCTCTATTCATTACAATATATTCAGCCAGAGCTTGGCGGTGTTAAATAAAATTAAATACGAAGGAACGGCATATTTTGATCTTTCAAAATTTATTACGTCTTTATTTTCTCTTTGTTGTCTATGCTATGTTGTTCATGTTTTCTTTTTAATTTTTATTTTATCTGGTTTATGTACGGGCGTTTAAATATGCATCTGAAATCAGCTGGTTTTGACAACTATTTTATAACCATTCATAATCAAACATAGTCGTTTGACTTATTGCGATGAAGGAGCCACACTATTGCCATTGAATCGAACCAGTGCAAAGTACATAGTGAGGCTCTTTCAAATGGTTACGAAATATAGGTTTTTATCCCAAATAAGTCAGATGACTATGTGAATTTAGATATTTTAACAAAATTTTAACAAAATATTCATCAATTTTCAATGATTCTTCAAATAGCTCAACATGGAAGGAGCTTAGATTTTCTTCCTTTAATTTTTATACGTTTAAGTTGAGCTATATGGACCGTTGACATGCAGCTACCTACATTCATTTCAATGTTCAGGTTTAATTTTATGTATCAGTCAACTCATATAATTGTACACTAATTGTATATAAACAGGAAAAGATCACGTTTTTCATGACTTTTGGAGTCATTTTCCTGCAAAACTAAATTATTCAGCCAGATTTTGGCTGTGTCAATAAAATGAAGTGAATCATATCAATTCTCTTGCAAGCGCTGCATGGTTTGAACAAATATTATGATCAATTGGACCGTATTCCGTATCGATTGATAAATGGCTACTTATATGACTTATTCAATTTTCGCAAAATAGAAACAATGAATAAAATAAAGTTAAATAATATTTCAAATCTATTTCTGGATTGAATTTTATTTTCATAAACATATGACTCTTGCAAGTGCTGCCATCTTGGAGACAAAAATATACACATAGATGTCATGCAAATGTATACAACCAAGCAATGACATTTGCTTCATTATAAAAGTAGTTCGCATTATTTTTTTCAATGAAACGTGACGTCCTATACTGTGTGTTTGTTTCATATCGTTTTAGTTTTATCTGAACTATTTATATATATAATATATATTTTCTAACTTGAAAAATGCCTTCACCGGAAAAAAATGATTCATCGACGACAGCAGCGATGTCGAACAAAACGCAATCCAAAGACAAAGAACAATCATCAAAACGGATAAGAAAGGAGCCGGAGCGATACGGGAGCCGTGAATGTGATTTGGGAAACGACGATGATTTCCACGAAGCTGATAGGTTGGCTGGTATTGCGGATGCACTGTCAGATGTTCGGGATACAGTGTCAGCCACTTCCAATGCTGTTGATCTTTCTGTGTTCTCTCCAGGAGAGAAAATCATATACAAAAAACTTTGCGACATTGGAGCGCAATTAAAAGTCCTTAACAACAGGGTCACCGATATCGAAGTAACACTAGAAACGAAAAAACAAGTCAAACTCCAAAAACCTGATAAGCAATTGTTGATTAAACTTGGTCTACCATTAAAAAGCATCGAAGCACTCAACAATTTCGAATTTGAACTGTTGAAAATAGAATTTGAAACAGAAGTGGTAATTGAGCAATTATGATGGGATTCCTGAAAGAGTTTGAAAAGATGTTTTTTTAATTTATTTTCAGTTTGGTGCCCTACATATCATTGGCGGAACAAATGGAAAATCAAATGGGGTGAGAGTTTTGGTTGCTCTCTTTGAATGTTTGTTTGAGAAGGAATTTTTGAGAGGCATCACATGGACTGGACGAAGTGCTACTAATGCACAAAAAAAAATTCCTTTGAAAGAGAAAAAGCAAACTCTCTCCATCATTACGCGATTGTGTACGATTGCTGATCAAGCATATTCAGCAGACCAATGTGAACATGATATCAAATACACAGTTCTGAAATATGCATACCTTGGTGGAAATACCAATTCAAAAAGCAAGCGCGGAAATGCTACTCCTGCAGGCGCTGTAAATAACGGTGCTAACACTGGGTCTGGTCAACCAAACACTGGGGCTGGTCAGTCGGCTGCGGATACAAAATCGCAACAACAAAATCATATGATACCACCACGGTACGACGCATTTAATTACGTATCTTTTCCACCACCCCAACAAGCGAACCAACACTCGAACCAAAAAGCGAACCAACCAGCGAACCAACACCTAATTCAACATATTCCAATTCAAAATGTACAATATCATTCCATTCAGAATCAGTACCAAAATCAAGTGATGACTGATCCAAATGGAAATCCAATATTGTATAAATGATTCATTTGAAAAATGATGAACATACTATCATTCCACGATATCGAAAAAATAAAGAACGTATTATAATATATCATCTCACACTTTGCATGAATATTTTATTCACGAATATAGAACTCACGTTCCAATCAACACGTGACCTATTGACGTGAAGTTTGACAGTTTGTATAGCAATCAACTTCAGAGTGAATTGATATTTCAATTATCAGACGCAGAAAGAGCATAATCACATATTAATCTGACACAAAAAGTGCATAATCACCATACAGCAGCAAATTGGAAACAATCATCGAAAAAAATGGAAAACAATCGTCTGCGCTCAAGCAAATCCGTTGGTGGGTACAAATTAGGATTGTTCGAACAGTGTTCTTTCATTAAATATCCATTCGATTTGAGCATAAACCATAAAAGTTGAGGTTAGCTTGTACCTCATAGTGAATTTGGATTCAATTATTTTC